ATCTCCAGTAACCCATGCTTGTCGTAAGAGGCGACTAACAGGGTCGGGTGGTCAGGCTCGCTGACTTGGTTGACACATGTCATCGTATCCCAGTTGCGCACATCGATACTGATGCTGTTGATAACTAGATTGTCTTTTCCAGACTCGATTATTTACAGACCGCCGCCATAAAGCTGGAATATTTCGGAGTGCGCCGTGAAATGTAAGTCACTCACTCACAAAGACAACACGGCACATATTTAGCACTTTAATGCAATATCAGTTGTCAAGCATTTTGTGTCATGGGCATCACATGAAGCAGAAATAAAAAACACCTATTATTGGCAATAAAACATTATTTAAAAAACGCGCCGAAGCTTGACGAGAACTTCCTCTTCCAGCCTAAGGCACCTTATAGCTTTCAAAGTAGTAGCTTTGCACAGTTTGTTTAATGCACTTACTTGAACCATATAATATCTATGTAATTTATTTCGCTTTGATCATTTATTGCCAACCATACTCTTACCAGTTCACCCTTAACAGTCAATATACACCAACATATTGGCTCACCTTTACATTAGTTCAAACGCCGAACGTTTTAGTCGTTTATTTACTTGTTTGAGAAACCTCAGGTCTTTTATAATACGACTATCCCCAAAATGAAACGGTTTTTATTGATAGATCGATCTTTCGATTGTATGGCTAGCTCTGACATCTAAAACAGCACTAATGTGTGAAGCTAATAACACGACATGTGCACTATACTGCCAATTGATCTATATTTACAACAAACAAAAAATAAATGGGTTTTGTTAATTAATAGTCCCTCAGTAAAACGCTAAGCCATCGCCTGATTACAGTCCAGCAAGCGAGGTAGTCGGCTTGAACGAGAACACAAGCGTATTCATCTTATCTTGGAAATCAATCCGCCAATCTACACTTTGCAGGCGCGGAAGAATTGTTTGTGGTGTAATTAGGCTACAAAGTTAATCCATCCAAACAAACGAACTCAGACGCTTTTGTTCTTCAGTACGTGTATTCAAGCTGTCATTGTATTTAGTATGCAAATATATGAACAAACGTTACATCACCTCTCCCTCCATTACACATACTCCAAAATATTAATATTCATGTTTGTCATATTGGAGCTATAGTATAGCATTTGAAAGTTATCTTAGTGATATGACTCGAGTCGACCTAAAAATCACCATTATATTCAAACATACTTTTAGGAGGTACTTGTGTTTTACCCTCATTTTCTTGGTTCTGAAGAATTATTATAGTATTTAAACATTAACTTTTGATATTGCCTTAATTGACAGGTTCATTTTTTTCACAATTTCAAAATTAGAACTTACATGAATTCGAGAATTCAAACACTTCCAAGGTTTTGTGTTTGTATAGTTCTGGCAGAATTTCTGCTTATGTTAATCTCGATCAATTCTCTGATGTTATAACCAATGTATTTCTTGAGCAATTTCATACAGGTTACGATTTCTAAACACGGGTTTAATGTAAATATTAGACTGTTCTTTGATATATTTCAAGGTGTATGAATCATTCTGAACAGGTATAATAGGGTCTGACTTGCTGCAACCCTACAACAATGGCATAAAGACATACAAGTGTGGGCTGTCTTATTAAAACGACACTGGTCAGTCTATATAGCTCTATCGACTTATCATCATAGTCATCGATTTTCGGTCATCGACAGATATGATCAGACACACAAATCACAAATGTTCCGAATATTCAACATAAGTAAATTAGATAACCCGTGTCAATTAATTGAATTCTGTCCAACTGAATTTAAAACCAATTTGCATACTCCCAAACCTGAGCACGTAGAGAGGCATTCAGTCGGAAGCCCTGAATGATTGATAAATTATCTACAGAAATATCGGTTTCCTTGTTGAAATACAACACAAAGACAATGCCTCTATGTCAACCTTTTACCATATTTAGATTGACTAATTACCCAATACAATATATAATGCAATGTACATCAATAAATTTATGTAATTTCCTCATTCTAACATCTGGTTCCTTACTTGGTCTGCAGAACTCGTTTCCACAGCGCAATCGGGCGGTTAATGGGCCACTTGTTCAGGCGTAATGATGCGCGTCGTTAAAAAGTTCCCTACCATATGGACACCCTGAGCGAGAGATAGTATTTCATGTTTAACAGATTCCTTTCAATTGAGTTAAAACAGTTACCGAGCACCCTGTGGCCTAGCGTCGGGGGACTGACTTTGTTTAACGGTTTAGACGAAGAAGATCGATGGATCGCCAGTTTTAAAAAGTCAAACTTGAGGGTCCTCCTGCGCCGGGTCGGGAAGTTTTCGCTGCCGCCAAATGGCGGAACATGTTTTCTTTGTTGCCGGAAATCGGCAAGTCGTCAACTCGATTTTCCGCATGTCGTAAAAGGTCGTTCCCATCCATCATGTCGCTACAAACGATGACGCATTGTAGCCAATATGGAAAAGAGGCAAGTTAAAATGTTGAACTTCACAGGGAAATTTCGATTTGTGAACGATCTGCCTCAACGTTATACACTTTAGTATTCATGACAAAGAAAAAATGTATATGTAATAAACTAGCCTATTTTGATAAAGTGTAGTTTCCTTAGTTTCTTGTAAACGAATTATAAAATACAATATTGCAAGCAGCACGCTCTGCATAAGGTTATGTACTTGGTATTGTTATTTTCAATTTGTTTGAGAATGAAAAAATGTTATATTTAATTTATAGCTTATCAAATGAGCTGTATCATGATATGTGGCCGTATATATTTATTCATGACAGGTGCTGAAATAACCAAACATGTTGGGTTTTTAAAAAAGTGTAATTAGTCTTCCTTGAGTGAGTGAGTTTAACGCCGCACTCAGCAATATTCCAGCCATAGGGCGGCGGTCTGTAAAATAATCGAGTCTGGACCAGACAATCCAGTGATTAACATCATTATGAGCATCGATTTACGCAATTGGGATACGATGACATGTGCCAACCAAGTCAGCGAGCCTAACCACCCGATCCCATTAGTGGCCTCTTACGACAAGAATGGGTTACTTGTAGTCTGTTTGCAACGAAAACGTACAGATGAATTTCACTTTAAACCAAAAGGTAAAACAAATAAAGTGAAATTAAGATTGCAAATCCTCATAATTTTACCTTACCAATTGAACACTTAAATCTCAGAATTTTATTCAACTTAGGATAAAAGCTGTTTAACAAACGATCCTAGTTTCACATCGCTATTGTTGGTTTGTTAGGATCTACACCGAAACGTCGCATCCACTGCAGTAAAGAAGTTGTCTATCCATAAAAAGTGTTCCTCTTCATCGTACTAGCTTCTAAATGCCACTTAAGGATCTAGTATCTTTGTTTAGGAAAATAGCCGCGCTTTGGGTGGACGGTCGATGACTATCTTGACAAAAACAGAACGTTTACCACTTTGTTGTAACTCAAGATCACCGACTTCTGGTACCTGTTATTGTTGTTGATGTTGTTGTTTATATTATGATCATTATAATAATTGTTACTATTTCTGTTATTGTCATTTTTCACGTTAATATTTATTCAGTGCCTAGTTTGAAACCTTCAACTATTCAGTTTCGATAAGAAAATGGTGTACTTAAGAGCCAAACCTTTCGGGTATTCCGAAACTATACTCATGCCAATAATGGTTGTCAATAATGGCCGTTTCATATTGCTGTAGTTTCATGTTGCTGTAGTCCTTTCATATTGCTGTTGTTTCATTTTGGTGTTGTCGCTTCATATTGCTGTTGTTTCATATTGCTGTTGTCGTTTCATATTGCTGTTGTCGTTTCATATTGCTGTTGTCCTTTCATATTGCTGTTGTTTCATGTTGCTGTTGTTTCATATTGCTGTTGTCGTTTCATATTGCTGTTTTCGTTTCATATTGTTGTCGTTTCATATTGCTGCTGTTGTCATTTCATGTTGCTGTTGTTGTTTCATATTGCTGTTGTTTCATGTTGCTGTTGTCGTTTCATGTTGCTGTTGTCGTTTCATATTGCTGTTGTCGGTTCATGTTGCTGTTGTCATTTCATATTGCTGTTGTCGTTTCATATTGCTGGTGTCGTTTCATATTGCTGTTTTCGTTTCATATTGTTGTTGTCGTTTCATATTGCTGCTGTTGTCATTTCATGTTGCTGTTGTTTCATGTTGCTGTTGTCGTTTCATGTTGCTGTTGTTTCATATTGCTGTTGTAGGTTCATGTTGCTGTTGTCATTTCATATTGCTGTTGTCGTTTCATATTGTTGTTGTCCGTTGTTACCATTTCACATACAAACTATTGATGTGGAGTAACAGTAAAATACCCAAATAAGGAAACGGATTGTTTATCTTGTGACCTGCCTGACACTCGGCAGAGAGGGAATAATCTGTCTGATGGGGCATTCATAGAAACTTGCAGTGTGGGTTCTCAGTAGGCTAGCACTATAAAACCGGTATTGGCCCCAGGTAGTACAAGCATACACGCACGCACGCACGCACACACACACACACACACACTCGCACGATTGAATGTTGCCAAGTGCAGCTGCCATGCACGTGACGTGACGACGAACCCCTACATCAACTCGCCTAAAACACTCACGTCGGGATTTGGAGGAAGGAGTTGATTAAGGATGAAAACGCTACCCACGCGTTTTGTCACTCACCCGGAACACATCACAGGTACTAGGAAATCAAGGATACAAGCATACAGAACCTTGGAGTGAGTGAGTGAGTGAGTGAGTTAAGTTTTATGCCTCTTTTAACAATATTCCAGCAAAATCACGGCGGGGGACACCAGAAATGGGCTTCACACGTCGTACCCATGTGGGGAATCGAACCCGGATCTTCAGCGTGACGAGACGAACGCTTTAACCATTAGGCTACTGCACCGCCCCGAATCTGGGACATCTGGGACAACGGTGACCCATAATATTTGTATGCCAAGAACATTATTGGCATTTTGGGCATTAATTTTAAAACTAGAAAAATCAATAAACCGTATATCGATAAAACTGGATGTTTTATTGAACAATGCACATGAATATTGCACATGGGACAATTACTCGGAACAAAACCTCGGATAAATTAGGATAACGTTTAAAATCACAACAACATAATAAATAAAGATAACTTATCATAAAAGGCATGATTGACTTCAATAATATGTGAGTATTGAAATGATAACCGAGACATTGCACGTCGCCCGAAATGGATTACCTCCCCTCAAAACGAGTTATCTCCCCTTGAAATATAAAACTTTGCCATTTTTATAAGACATTATTATGCACACACCAATGGGAGATAACTCTGTAATAATTAACATTGTAAAGGCATTAAATAAGGTTTAAAGAACGAAAACAATGTAAAACATGGGTCATGATGTCATGTACAATCAAATATCAACTGTAAAATTGGTGAGAATTGGGCAAAATGTTGTAATTAGATTGTTAAACGTTGATATATTTACCGTGTATGTACAAGCAGAGGAATCGACCCGGTTATGACTGACTAGAGAAAACTCTCATACCGGTGAAATGTGACCAAATTATCCACGTTCAGGGCTGATATGCGACACAAACTGGCCCGTCTATGCCATAAGTAGCGTTTGTTCAATAAAATCTGTGATATGTCAATAAACCAGTTTGTTAATAATGTATATACAATTCTATGTAATCACTTCCAGTGTAATTCTGTATAAACTATCATATACTACTCAAAGAATCCAAGGACAACTCCACAGATTGACTGTAGGTATAAACTGATGCACAAAAGAAACTTTACCTCTGAGTTGATTTCATATCGTTATTAGATATAAAATGAACTCAACGATGTTATATATAAGAACGTTACTAGGGCGTGAGGACTTGGTTCTGCAGCTTTTTAAATATAATTTTAAAACTTTAAAAATTTCCAGAAATATAATGCTGAAAAAATCTTTGAAAACCAATAAATGTGCTTGTTTTATGCACAAATTTACATTTCACTGCAAATTAATTCATGACCTCATTATTCGCTAAACCAATCAATTTTTACACAACATTACACAGCCACGAATGACTTTCTGCAAATGAGTGATGTTGAATAGACACATGATCTAACTCAACAAGATTTCTTTCAATTTTCAATGACACTACTCGGTATAGTTTCTTTTGTCCCTCAGTTTCTGAAACAAACGGGTGGTCCGTAACGTTTTTAGAGTAGAATAAATAAAAAGAATATCATAAAGCTTTCATCAGTTTCATGAAATAAAAAGACAATAAATATATTTCGTAAATACAACATGGCTGAGATCGAGGAATAATAAAAAAGCTTGTCGGTTCTTGGAAATAATGATAGTTGATATGTAGCGACATCTTCAGAGCTAACAGCTTGATTCCAAATAATACAGATAAATATTGATCATAACGAAGCATTCTGGAGCACCAACCCATGCAAGGAGTCTGTCCGCTCTACTATAACGGCCAACGCTACGTTGAATCGATACAGACTTCACGAACTTGGAACAATATAAATCGCACATCGAATGAACGAAAGATCTGTCCCTCAGCATCAAATGGACAATGCAACAGCCCTCGAGTGTTTTTACTTGACACGGACGAAGTCTTTTCGTCAAAGATTGTCATTTGTCTTTACAGTGCCTCTACACAGAACGACTAGTATCCGGCAAGTCACAAAAATATATTCATTTGAATCTGTATACGGTATGCGGCTACGAACGTTTCTCCGCATGGCTCTGTTTCATTTTGTCCAATAAGAACAGCACAATCTGTCACATGACTAATACACTTCCACGTGATTCTGTGAGGTGACTGGCGGGTAATCTACAAAGCCAGAAGGGGTGTCGTTTACATCGGGCTGCATCATTCGAACCATGTTTTGCGCGCCACCTAGCGGAAGTGAATCCATTGGCAACATTTGAGGGTGGCTTGATGGAATGTTTGGTGAATGGCGGCCGATAAACTGAGCCCCGGGGAGACCGTTGAAGTGACCCCACGCATCCATAGGGGGCGTGCTTGGAGGCCCCCCTGGCATCCCCAGTGATTCATGGTCCACAGGGCCCGAGCCGTAAAGGTCCCCGGATAAACGACCCGAGTGGACGGGGCCTTCTAGGTCATCCAAACTGCCTGGAAGAACAAAAACAAGACTTTAAAATCACTGAGCTCACATTTAACACAATTGTTTCATCCTTCTTAAATGGTGGTTGGGCAGGCTTGTGGTTAAAGCGTTGGCCCGTAATCGATGCCCTTGGTTCGATTCTTGAGTACAATTTGTCAAGCAAATATTTCAGGTGTTCGCCACCATGATATTGTTAGGTTATTGCTGAAAGGGTGCTAACTCTATTAGTGACTCAATTGGCTGAGTATTTCCATCATACCCCGACAGTGTAATCCGTTGCTCATAATATCAATCATTAGTTTGGTCTGCCGATTATTTACGAGGCGCCGTCACGTAACTGGAATACTGCTAAGTGCGGCTTTGAACAACAAAACAAACAAACAAACAAAACAGTTGAAGTCTGGACCTACCCTGAAATGAACTGTCTGTAAGTCCATCATCGGATCTATCGTCGGCGCTAAGAGAACTGTCATGGTCGCCTTCCCGCTTGATCTGACGGAAATAAGGGTTCCATCTTTGCCTCCCCGCGTCTTTCTTCAACCGTTTTTCTTTGGCCCTCCGATTCTGGAACCACACTTGCACCACACGCATGTCCAAACCGGTTTCGGTACTCAGTTGCTCCCTGACGTGACGCGCGGGTTTGGGACTTTCATTGTATGCACGTTTCAACGCCTCTAACTGCTTGGCTGTGATAGTTGTGCGCGGGCGTTTATTTGAGGGATCCATTTCGAAATCTGAAAATTATTAATATTATTATATCAATATATCATGTCTCACCTCTCGCATGCTGAAAGTTATTTCAAAAATATATATTTACAAATTTTAATAATTGCTTGTAAAACCAAAAAATATTACCCTTTAGTTTCATTAAAATCCGTCTTATTTTGTCACTTGACACCTGTTTCTTTATTGGTTACATAATATAAAATATGTCTTTTTTAATAACGTTTTTAATTCCATTTCGACCATTTGTTGAAATGTATCCGCAAAAGAAATTATTAAAATAGAGACCAGTACCTAAGTTTAGCAATTGGCTAATCCATTTTACAGACAAATGGCATGTCTCCGGAACAATCGCGATTATCCCACAAATTAAAGCAACCATAGAAGTATCAAATGAGCAGCTTGCATAGGGCACGCCACCATCTTATATACGTCACGAACGAAGTCATAACATGCAAATGAGGTCAACTTATGAGGAAAATGTACACACCTGTAGTTCCTCGAGCTTTTGCAGCCTCGTAGTCGGTCTTGCACACTAGTTTCTTGTCTTCCATGAGGTAGAACTCGTCTCCTGTGTTGAGTTGCCGGGAGCACATGAGACAGGCGAAACAGTCCAGGTGATAGACGTTCTCCTGGGCACGGCGGACCACCTCTGTCGGTGGGATACCCTTCTCACACCCAGCACACTTTGTCCCAAACAGTCTGAAATAAATAAATAAATACATTAATAAATAAATTTGACTAGATGTACTCATCTACATAAATAAATAAATGTAAGCGACTGTTTGCAGTTTAGGGACGTTTGATAACGTTTGTAATTTTGGATCATTTCCAATTTTCAGTGTATACTTTCTTTTGTCCTTCAGTATAATAGGAATTCTGTTCAAGGCAGCTACGGCCAAGAGACAATATGTATCAATCACAAATAACATTGAGAACCTGTCTACTCTTCATGTTTTTTTATAAGACGTTTTTACATGTTGCTGTTACAAGCACTTCAAAAGTCCGTTTCAAAATATTTAACTAAGAAATGCGTGCTATCACTCTTGCGAACCTAAATCACTATCACGCGCATACGTTGTTTTTTTTATTATTTTTTATGTGTGTTCGGGTTTTTTTTAATGAAAATGAATTACACTCCATCAAATAACGGTACAAGAACAACTACAACCTACATCCTTTTGCCCAACTGATCTCAAAAAAAAAACCCAACAAATTCCTCGACTCAGCATCTATTGAATTCTGTTTCCAAAACTGTTCATCACACAAAATATACGAAAAAATGGACATATTTGCAGCTTTTCAAATATTGCAATCACAGGCATTTTTGCATTTTAATATCCTCCTGACAAATGCGATTTTCTTCCAACGCAAAAAAACTCGCCAGCGAGGAAGCATAATATTTGACAAAAACGTCCCTAAATGCTATAAAATGTTTCATGTTATGTTGGGTTTTGCCAGCACCCAGCGCCGAGAAGTCGAGGCTCAGTCTGCAGCATTGACCTAAGTTTCGTTGTGGGGCGATGACACGTTCGGTTATTAAGTTGAAGCTAATCGGCGAAGTATGGAATACAATAACTGTCAAAATTTGACAAATGAGCCTTTCCAGCATCTGAATCCCATGACGCGTGCTCTTAGAACTGAATCCAATACAAAAACAAGAGGATGGCATGGTTTTTATCGCTTTAGCCAAACGATCCCCATCGAACAATGCCGGCATTCGCTGGTGCTGTTTGAGAACGGAGCGGGGTCGATGACTACACGAACATAGACACACTGCCTGTTACACCGACTCCAAATGTTTAATGTTCACAAATGAGAATTTGAAAAGTTTTCATGATTCTAACAAATCTGAATTGTTTATGAGAGGAATATGAAATCACTACATCGTTTTAATTCGTTGAATAAATATATCTGAATTTAAGTCCTTTTAACATAAAGTGAAGAGAGAAGAGGGTAGAAAATGTGTTTGAATGAGCGTCATCTTCCCTTGATGTTTCTGTTTGCTGTGATAAATTGTATCTCATGATTTTCTGTATTTCTATGGTATTGGTACCATTGGCGTGATAAAGTGTTTGTTGCATATTCAGAAATTTCAATAAAATTGTTCACAGTCGCCATAGTTAAAACACCTCTTACAAACGCCTTGCCATTCCCATATCCTTGTCGGGAGGTTTGGAATCCTTCTGGGCCAACCGTTTGCCGCTTACCCCAAAACCCCGAATCCCCACGTGAAGGCAACGTGTGAAGCTCATTTCTTAAGTCCCCCTTGATGTCAATATTCCATAGCCAAACGTAATTTGTCTTACATTTAATCCAAAAATAATCCCGTTAGTTTTGATCTTAAGACAGGCGGTAAGAGGTTTGGAATACAGTACTACAAAGAGAGATCGTGGATATATGTAATGTTAATTCAGGAAGTACACGCTTAGTACAAAGTTAAGCACTACCCGCTACGATTTTTACTTTTTTCAGAACGTCCAATGTATGATGGACGTAGACCTAGTTCCAAATGACACTGAACTTGTGTTGATTCATATCTAAAATACTTGGGATACCTACTGGAACAACAAACAAGAATGTTGTCTTTTTATATCGCCAACCGAGCATACAAAAATGTGTGGTACCAATTTAAGATGTAACTGCATTATGTCTCGACATCGCTGGCGGGCAAAAGAAATCATATAACTATTTTCATTATTGTGGATACAAATGAAACAAAACTGGTAATTAAGAATGATGCATTTCATATTTGATACTGATATCATTTATTTATTTATCTTTGGGAGCTGGGTGGGGAAATCTTTGACCAAATCCAATTTTTCAAATGTATACTTTCTTTAGTCCGGCAATTATTACTATTTACAAGGATTATTTCTGTTTTTTAAAAATACAACGTAAACAATCATATCATTAGATGGTCTATTTCGATTTATGTTTTTATAGGAGTACGACGCTCCATAAACAAAAACAAATATTTCTCGAAATTTGCATAATATAGAAAGGCTATTGTGATACATTAAAATAAGATATACAGTGGGTGCCAGATTCGTACTAGTTCAGTGCAAGTTGAGATGTTGTATAACGTGTCCCTGTTAACCACAGGGAATTATTATGCTGCAAGAAACATCGATATCAACAATAATGACCGAACCTATTGACCACAACTGACCATTGCCCCGCCCCTTTCTCATCCATCATCTGCTTCATTATAGAATCTAGTGTATTTCACACTGGGCTCCTCGAGGGGACGATCGATACGGCTTTTACACTTTTTTCCCCAGTAATCTCTTAAATCGAGTAATAAGCTTTAAAGATGAGGGCGACCTTCCTTCTCTCGTTACACAAATCCTATTTACGGCTTAGTTTCCTGGTTTTACCCATCCCTTAACTTGGACAGGGCCACTCACACATGCGGTTGAACAGGGAAGTTAACATGATCACAGAACAAGTGTCCAAGCTAACCGGGTTTGATAACATGTCATTTTGGAATATTTATCACGTGTATTAACTTCACAGCAAAAAGATTCAGACACACACATTTGTTGAAGGTGAAAATTGAAAGAAAAAAGCAATTGTTCAACGGTGATGTATTTCATTCGGGAACCATCTTAATCTTGGAACTTACGTTTGCAGTGTTGTGATGACTATTTGTAGTAGTTTCGATAAACTTTATAATTATAAATCTAATTATAAAATGTGTACATATTACATTTTGCCTGGCAGTTCGTGTGGCTGTCATGAAATAAAGCAGAATATTTTTCTTTAAAGTTTTCCATTCTTTTAGAATAACGTCATGATCAGAATTTTAGTCTTCAATGCCGTTAGTGTATATCTGTTTAGAAATCTGATTTGGACACGATATATGAGTTATTCTGATTCTGTGGTTAGAATTTACTTTTTCCGCTTGAGTAGCTAATCTTTACGTATAGCCACATGCGGAAAGCACGTGCTTGAAATGGCAAAATGATGATGTGAGTGTACATTTCATTTTGAAATGTACACCGCCACTCAAGCTTCGCTCCAATGTGTTAATATCATACTGTACATATCAAATAAGTTTCAGTTTGACTAATTTATACGTTTCTTGTAACATGCATATGATAATTTCATCATAAGGTAATCGTGTTGGAATTAATATTTTTAAGGGAGGGCCACACAGTAGTAGTATTTTTCTTCACCGATCAAATTCATATCGATTACGACTTCCTGACTTGATATGGCTAGTTTCTCTGTTGATGAGCAACTCACAGAGACGGCGAGTGTTGAAACCTTTCATTTAATACAATTGAGAATATGGGATCGAATTGTGAAATTCGAAAATTTGACCCGTCCTATTTTAAATTCAAAAGTAATGGATACAAGAAAATATGTTTGTGTGAATTAAAATTTAAAATCAGTATATATGTGCTGCAATACTAGTGACAGGAAATCTGATAAACAGAATATTTCGTAGCAATATGTTCGTCCTATATATTGAAGTTACTTTGAAGTCTTACAATTTGAAAATGAAAGACGAATTCCCAAGTGAACGTTCTATACTCGCAGCCACTTAAACTTATTTTCGTTTCTTTTTTGTTTCATCGGCGAGGCAATGTAGCCGTAGACAAAGCCTCCCCCGGTGCTTCCAACCGTGTCCTAAACTAATTAGTACGAGAAAATATTGATTGGTATATTGATTAGAGGCCCAAACTACTTCCAGTCGAGTACATATCACCGGCTATATTAGGACAAGGACGTGGGCCTCCACAGAGGATGTGCATTGCGTATCCTAAGTACTGGGGCGGTGGGGTAGCCTAGTGGTTAAAGCGTTCGGTCGGCACGCCAAAGACCCGGGTTCGAATCCCCACATGGGTACAATGTGTGAAGCCCATTTCTGGTGTCCCCGCCGTGATGTTGCTGGAATATTGCTACAAGCGACGTAAAACCAAACTCAGTCAGTCAGTCCTAAGTACTACAAGACAATAGAGGATTTTGTATTGATATTAACTTCTTGTTCAAAACGACTACTGACCTAACCGAGACGTGACGTCAACATGGGTCAATTTAGACGTTTATTAGATACAACATACGACTGATATCATTGTTTCATCGCTATGTGTTTATTCGTTTGTTCTGTGTTGACCGTTCACTCAGTATTAAAGTTGTATGACGACGGTTTGAAATTAATCGAGTCTGGACCAGACAATCCAGTGACTGATGTCATGCGCATCTACCTACGCAACTGATACGATGATTTGCGCCAAAATGTCAGCGAGCCTTACCACCCGATCCCTTCAATGGCATCTTTCAAGCATGGGTTGCTGAAGACTCGTGGGTCTCGTGATCTCATTGTTTAAGCGTGATAACCAAATGCATAATGAAGTATTAATACATTTTAGACAATAATTTACTTAAATGCATTTACTTGGAATGACAATGAACAAAATCGTTTTCGAAATACACGTGTGGTAACATATAGTTTTCTTAAAACTGCACACGAATAAATATACTCATGTCAATAATGGTTGTCACCCCATTCAATTTTTTTTATTGGAGAGGGGGTGTGGTGTGTGTGTGTGTGTGTGTGTGTGTGCGGGGTTGGGGTGGGGAGGGGGGGGCAACCATTATTGGCATGAGTATATAATAAATTCTAAATGAATTTATTTTACCGTCCCTTACAAACGTCAGATGTGATTGGTTGTTTTTTCCTTTCTGAGTTA